AGTGGAGAAGGCAAGCACGTCCACAAGGTAAATGCTCTTCATTGCACATTATTCTTCTGTTTCTAAGGGTGGTGTGAATGTGTGTGCAGCTTAAGGGTGGAAGTTCCTGAATGATCAAAAGGCTCTAAATTTTAAATCTGAAGTTCATTGTACTGTAGTTCTTATTTCAAATTCCCTCAGAAGTCTAAAATGAGCTAGGTGAGAGTTTATGATGGAAGAAGATCACCAAGACTTACGTTGAAAAGGTGGAGCCAAAGGCTGAACTGGAAGAAGCAACTCTGTGAACACCAGAGCTGATTCCTGAGAGTGGCAGGGTAAACTGAATCAGCTCAGTGACCTAGGGCTGAGAGAGAAGACTCTCCTTGGACTCCGTGTAATTTATAAATACAGAATGTTCCACAAGGAAAATGATAACAGACTAATAATTATGACTATATTTGTCCCTTCACAAACATTTCTAACACCTGTCAAAACTTCAGTGAGCAAACAGCAATTTAATTTTGCTGTTGCAGGTTAAGGATTGAGTGTGTGGTTGGTTAAGGATGTCATTTCTGCCTCAGTAGAGCACACATGAAGTAGTTTTGTGCTTTTTTTATAGGTAGTATCTATAGAAAGGCTTTAGACATCAAATGGCTTTCTTAAAATCTGGGCTTTGATTGGGTCCAGAATCATCTCTCCATTTATAAGCTTGTATTCTTTGGGTTTACTTTTTTTTAATGTGTATCTTACTAGTGGGATCCTAGATTGTCTTAACATAGAATTAATGTCTGTGCCCTTTAAAAGAAATGCTGAGGAATCTTTACCAAGTAAAACATTGTTTTTTTGGAAGTGAGTGCCTCAGCGTGCAACAAGTGATAACATATCTTCACTCACAAGTGAGCTTTAGGGTCTTAAACTAGATGTGTTTTCATGCAACAGCCCTTAGGAGGAGGCACAGTAATGGTGGGATGGAGCTGGCTTGCTTCAAATGACTCATTTGTAATTTTCAAGAGTTCTTTTCAAACATGCTCTTTCACTGAGGAAACTATCTTCCCAGTTTTCCTGCAGTGATAATTTTCAAAGTGAACGTGAAGTCAACAAGCCGTGAAATTTCGAGGGAGAACCAGTAGAGGGAACTCCCCACTTCAATGCTGATTTTTGGGTCTTTTGGATTGCCTCTTTTTCTATCCATGGAGTACACATACTCTCCCTGGAGATACTGTAGTGGAAGTTTGGCTTTCAGGAATTAGAAAACATAGTTGCAGTTGAAATACTTTTGTATTATATTCTAATAGTAACCACAGCAGGATATGCAAACTCTAAATGTATCTTTGTTGTATCTGCACTCTTAGATTTGTACCTTGCTTTAAGATGTCTTAGCTTTTTGTTTACAAAGAAACTTTGCTTAAATGAGTGTTGACCCTCATTTTTCTGTACTGTTTTTTTGATATGAGGGGTTTGGTTTTTTCCCAGTGCTTCCACAATGCACTTGAAAGCTCTTACTTGTGCTCTTAAAGCTCTTTATCCAGATGTCAGAGCTCTTCCCCTGTTCTGGAGAGCATTGCTTGCCAACAGGAATTGGTTCTGGATCTGTGATGTAGCAATAGATCAGGCTGGGATCTCAGACTTGGAGACTAAGTTCAGACATAGACAAGGATTAGCTGTTTTCACGGTTTCATACATTTTGTATGTCCTTATCCACTCTGAATTTAAAAAAAAATAATCAAGTGCTTTTTCTTCTTGATTTCATGCTCCCCAAAAGAAAAGCAGTTTGTTTTTCAGGCTAGAAGCCTTCTGAGAAGTAAGAAGTTATAGCCTCAGCAGTATGCCAACTAGTGTGGCACAGTGTTAGCTTTTTATAATAAATTCTTTTGTGATGAACTGGAGACTTTAAAATAGGAGTGGCTGGGTACAGCCAGGTCAATGAGAATGAGGTTCATGCACCAACCTGGAAATGTTAACTGTCCATAATAACTGACTGAACCAGTGGATTAGGATCACTTTCATGGCAGCTTCAGTTGTGCTGAGGCTATCCCATGTCTGTAACTTGGAGGAGGGAAACTTCCCCCCCAGTAGTAAGTGTTGAAGGTCAGGGATCCAGTGCAGCATTCCACAGAGTCTCCAGCCTTACCTAGTTCCATAGAATTGGCAGAGATCAAAAGTTTATCTGCTGTCTTTTTGAAGGAAAGCAGAGCACCGATACCTTTCCAAGAAATGGCCAAAACCCTCATTTAAACTGGAAATACTCCTTGGGGATGCTGTTGGATGGAGCAGGCTAACTTTTAATTACAGAGTGTTTTTAAAGTGCATTTCTCTAATCAGCTCATTGTTGCTGATAAAACCTAGCCTTGCTGGTGCTATCCTAAAAACCCTTTGCAAACATGAGAGGTGACTTGAATGCTGCAGGAAGGGGTTGGAATGCAAAACAGAACAGTGACATGCCAAGTGATGGATGGACAAAGCATTCCCTCTTTCTTGCCAGATTGTCTTCCAACAGCTTTCCTGCCTCTAAGTCTGGTTCATTTCTTGTGGCTTAGTGTTAACATGCCTTTGAAAAGGAAATTTAGTGCCTACAGATAGAGGGGCTGGTACAAATGCTTGGTTAGGGGTAGCCCTCCTGTCCTTCTTGGGTGGGAATGTAACCTGGTGTAAGAGAAGAGATGGATGGGGACAAAGTGTGCTGTAGAGGATTGAATGAGGCAGAGACCTTGATTTGATCCAGGGGTGGATCCTTTCATGTTTTTGTAATCAAAAGTTCTGATTCCAAAGCAGATAGAAATAGGACAGCTGCCACTGACAGTCCACTCACTCTGGTGTCTGTTCTTTAAGCCATGGCACCTAGAAATGAGGAGTGCATGAGCAGGAGAAGCTCTGCAAGACTCCTCTGCACTGATCAGGGCTCAGCAAAAGAAGCTCTTGGCAACGGGAACATCTTCAGCAGAAGTGGTGCCTGAAGCTAATGCACAGTTACTTCTCTTGCCCCTGTTAAAGGACATCACAGTTAGTAGCAGTTTGCTAAGTTTTAAAGGTAAAACCTGTCTGCAGTAATGATGCTACTTTGTCTTTTAAAATTAGAGAGTTAATGAGTATCTCTTAAGGGTTGCCCTGGTGATATTTGCTACCACAAGTGTTGATTGTTACACAGGAAGGGCACTTGCAGTGTCCAGTTTTATCGTATTGCAGAGGAACTTGCCTCTCTCCATTTAAGAATGGAGAATTTTGGCCACCTCACCCCTTTCTGCACTGAGATGATTTCAAAAAAGGGTTTGAGTCTCATTACCGAGTGATTCTGTCTATAGCTCTGTCTTGGTCACATTTAGCAGTGGTTGCTGTGTTATTGTGTTAGCTTCTCCTGCTTTAGAGATACCTTGTACATTACACTGGAGTAGATAAATTACTGCAAAGGGGAATTTTCCAGCCAGAAGGGGAGCAGTTGGTAACTGGGTGAGGTTGGCACCTCGCTGGGGTGCCTGTTCTGCAGAGAGAGCAGCTGGCACAGCAGGAGTGATGTCCTGTGACAAAGGTGCTGCATGTGGCACAGTGAAAGGCAGCGCTCTCTGGGACCCAGCAGTGCCATTTCTTAGCATGCTGTAGTTGAGCAGAGGAGGAAGAGGAATATAAATAGCAAGGAGTGTGTGAGCTCCATCTAGCCTGATGAACAATTACAGGAACATCTCCAAGGCAGCCCTCTTCCCTTGGCTTCCTCTGCCAAACACTCCTTTGTTAGCTCTAAGTCCTTGATCATCAGGAGTTGGTACCTTTAAGAGGCTTGTGGTAAATTATTATTAATAGTGGCACCAGATACTGATAGCACAGTGGTGTGTGAGAACCACATTTCAACAGCTCAGAGATAGTCCTTTGAGTGCAAACAGAGCTGGCTGTGAAGTTGTTAGAGGAGGCACATATTGGCTCTCTGCTTCTTCCTTCAGTAAAACCAGCACACAGCTTTGTTTATCCTCCAGAATTTGGTAATCTGCCTAGTCAGTAGCTCATGAAATTCCACTGCAGCAGAGAAAAAAAAATACTGCTGTTCTGTGAAGGTAAGTCAGATTTAGTATTTAGGCTGCCTCGTGTAGAGAACTTTCACTGAGTGGGAATTTCAAGTAGCAAACAAAAGTGATAGTTCATTGTCACCACAATCATCAGATATCAAGGATGCATTAGAGTCCAGCTCTTTTCTTCTAGCTAAGGAATTCTGAGGTTTCTGTGGAAGCAGACATGCAGCCCCTTGCTTTCCTCTGGTCTCTGCTCAGCTGAGGGAACAATCCTCATGGAGGCTGACAAAAAGTACCTGCTGCTTCATGATTGGAGTGGACATCACCCTCTCATGGGCTTGGTTTAAAGTTTATCAATAAGACCAGATACAGAAAGGAGATTTCTGAACTGTTCTAGGGAAAGCAGTTTCTTTGGTGCAAGCATTTTGTCTCAACCTTCCCCCACCCCTGCCAATGGTTGCAATTGCTTACATCATTAAGGGGGCTTATTCAGTTACAACTTCTTACATCATTACAGGTACTTTTTAGAAACTGGAATAATGTTTGATGGAAAACTGAGTATTTCTAGTAGTAGGCAGTGTTCTTCATAGATAAGCCAGATATGTGTAAAGTATGGATGTTTGGGCAAAGGAGAGAGGGGGGTCTGTAGCAGTCTGAGCCAGGCTTCATTTTACTTGGGAAGTGTGAATTTTTTGCATAATAGTGAGAACCAAGCAACATGGGATTCAGATTTCTTTATTCATTTGTGCTCAGTAATTCTTGTGAATAATGCAAAAGGCAAAGTAAACTCTAGTGATTCCCAAACTGCTGTGTGCACCATGGCTACTCATACTCCTGCACTTCAAAGCAAGCAGATACACTTATTTGTGAGGCACCTTCTGCTGCTGTTGAATCTTGAGGGGAAAAAAGGTTTTGGGGTCACAATATAGAGTGGCATGATGGGCAGTCTAAGAACAGTCGTGTTGCAGAGCATAAGTGCTTTTTTATTTTAAAATTATTGACAAGTAACTTAGGAGTTTCTTAAAGTCCTTTTAAGATATTTTCCATTTTATTTTTGAAGAATTGTACCAGATTTAGGTAGTTTAGAACTAATGCTCCAACTGTTTTATCTCTAAAATAGGGGCATGGTTGTCTCTTCAAGTGAGTCTCTTGACTCTTAAAGCTGCTAAAAAAAAAAAGGAAAAAAAAATCTCTTAAATTATCATTTGCATAGGACTTTTCCCCCTTATTGCAACAATATACACAGGAACATTTTGCTGACACTCTCTGTTAACACAGTATTGGTAGGCAGGTAGGTATTATAACATTAGACTACCTTCAAGTGGCTTACAGAAGTGCCTGTCAGTGGGAGACAAGCTGACAGAACATTGCTTCAATCAGTGATTGTTTCAGTGATCCCAGGGCTATCAGGTACTGGATTAATGCACTTTGTTCTGTTCTTCCCAACAGGAAGCCTAAAAAGGAAGAACATCTTAGTGAAGAGGCTGCCAAGGTGATTTCTAGCCTTCCTGACTTAACTTTCATGCATGCCAAGGTGTTGATGTTCCCAGCCACATTAACACCTTCAACAAGCTGCCAAGAAAAGGTAGACTAAAGTGATGTGAATTGGACGTTTTCTATTGATTTTTTTTTTCTTCCCTCTGCGGGTCGTAAAAAGCAATCTTGCTTTAATTAAAAAAATATCAAGTTCAGATGATTTGTTGGTAAGCAGCACTAGAAAGGTATACATAGTAATGTATATTTATTTACATACTGGAGTCCTAAATTTATATTAGAGAAAAATGTAAATAATTGGGGGTAAATCTTTTTGAAGATCTATTCTTTTTGTTGTGCTGGGCTGTATACATTTATGTCTTTGTGAAATACACTGGTGGTGTCCTTCTTAAAAAACTTTTAAAAGTTAAAAAAAAAAAGTCCTATAAACACCTAATAAAAACTTCAATCTTCACAATCTGTGAAGTTCCCCCTTAAGACTTTCAGATTGCATTGAGCAACTTTTTCTTTCCTGCATATACTAAAATACTTTTTGCTGGAAAAAAAAATCAAAAGGTAATGTTGTCCCTTTTATGGGTTTTTCAGTTATTGTTTCTTCAAAACCCAGTAATTTCTTTTGTGTTTTAACAAGCTTAAGATGTGTTTTTCCTTTTATTTTCCCCCATCCCCTCCCCCTGTTTGATTGGTTGGCTGATCAGTTTTTATGTTCTTGAACTTCAATAGTATGGCTCTGTCACTGTATAGCCTTTTGAAAGGTATGCTGTCAGTAATTTCTTGTTGCAATTATGGGTTACTGTCTAAACACTTGATTTTTTTTTTTTTTTTTGGTCATTAGAAGGTTGTCTGCTCTTAATCAGTTTGATTTGGAAAAGAAGGACCAAAACAATATGAATGTCTTACGATGAAATTTACCTGTTAAAAATTTTTATGTTCTGTTGTACCACTATTCCTGTTTGATTTTGCACAGTGTAAAATGACATAATCATAGATTGCTATGGTTTTAGGCTGTATATACAGTAAAAAACTATGGGTTGTAAATGTCTGGGGAAATTCCTATGGAAAAAAGAGAGCTATGTCGAAGAACCTCTAAAAAGGTCAATATGCATGCCCAAGGTCTTTTGAGATTTAAGTGTGTAAATTTCCTTTTAGCTTACACAAAATAAAATAATTTAAAAGATACATATGTATACAGGCTGTTATCTTTTCTTACAGAATGTGTGCATTACTCACTTCTCTGTTAGTGGTAAAGTGGATGTGCTTAGGACCTTCTGATTTGTGTTGCTCAGTCCCACAAACCACACCTGGGAAAATCCTGTGGATTTTCCTTCAATTCTCTTTATCTGTCGGGAGTCAGTCTTTTACTTCTGTTTGCAATTTCCCTTCTGGCTTGTAGGGCAACGTGGCTCATGATATTTAGGGTTAGAGGCTTCTTCAAAGCAATTGGCAATATTCAGCTGTGAGAAGCATCAGCTATGGTGAGGCAAGAAGGGACAGCTGGGTTTGCTGATTCCTTAGCTGCAGAAAACCAGAAACACAGCAGGCACTGAGTTCTCCTCTCATGTTAGCTTGCACTGCAGCTCTGTGAGCTCATCAGAGGGTCTCTGCACTGGCTGCAGGTAAGGCATGTTCTGGGTGCTGCTGTTTCTCAATGGTTCATGGACATAGACTCTTCCATGTCTTTATTATGTGCACAGCTCTTTAAGTGCTCTGTAGTCACCACCAGTTCATCACCTAACATCTTGTTCTGAAAAATCTGTAATGTGTTTTTTCATCTGCTGTTTGAATTCTTTATTGTCTGACAGCACTTGGGTCAGAAAAGCCCGAGTTTTGATGTCATCAGCTGGGTAAGCTGAAAGGTTGTCCTTCCAAAAGGAAGCTTTTTACTCTCCTTGAGGGACCAGTGCTGGGGCTCCATCTTTGTGAGTGCAGGAGTTTCAGTGAGTGGTGGCTGCTCAGAATTGAGAGAGCAGCTCCTATGGCTATGGTAAAGTTGATTTGTAAAGGCTGAATTGCCTCCTTTGCCCTCTAATTAGTACTGCAGTGTACAATGATGTGGTATCAAACTGCACCCTATTGTAGCAGAAAAGGTTTAAGCAAAAGCCATCTGCTTTACCATGCAGCCCAAACCCACCTCTATTTGCTGTTTCTGCAGATTTTCCTTACAGCACTGACTTCATGCCCATTACATGTTGAAATTAGCTTTGCTAATCTCCCAGGTTTAGCAGAGTATTCTTGAGTGCAGGCTTATTGTACTCTTCAGTTCTGGTGTTGGCTGCTGTAGGTTAAAATTGGTGCCTTTGTTCCCTGCCTGTGGCTGTCCCTGGGAGCTGGAGCAGTGGGATAGTGCAGCACAGAGCTATAGCTATTGTTTCAAGGAGAATATGTTTAGGAGCTGACTCATGATCCTTGTCTGGCAGCGAGTGGACTGAAGTATTAAGGAGAGGTGGGGGTGGAAGTGCCAGCTGCAAGTTGATCTTTAGTCTCCTCACAATTGCCTCCAGAGGCAGCTGCCCATTTGTCTTCCAGGCTCTGAGTGCAGTTCTGGTGGCCTGCCGTGGATGGGGGAGGGGGAAAAGGAGATTTCTATTGTGACTGATGTACCAATCTGAAACTTTGTGAAACCTGGTACTATCCAGAATGTGTTCATGGGGTTTTTATGTTCTTTCTGCATCCCACAGACCTTCACACTGCTGAAAGATGTAAAGCTTATATCCAAATTCAGCCTTTTGGGGTAGATGCTGCCTGCCTTAAAATGTAGAACTGCTTTTTTTCTCCTAGCTTAAGCCTCCTTTTTTGTTGTTGATGGTGGGATGGACAGACAGGATCCTCTTGCATCTCTCCTGTTTCTCATACAGGCAGCTCTGTTCATAGGCAGGAAGTTTTGGCTAAGAGATTCATGTTCATAGGAAGTTTTGGCTAAGGGACTCAGCTGCAGCGGGGTTGTCCTTCCACGCTGTTCCCATTGACACACCATGCAGTGTCTGGTTTAATCTTGCCAGTGGCCTCCTGTCACGGGCAGGATGGCACTTGATGCTTTGTGCAGGTTTGTGTTGCTGTGCATTGTCACCAGCCGTGTCAGGGTGTCACTGAGCAGAGAGTGCCTCTGTGCCTGTCCAGCCCAAGCAGCAGAGGACACCTGGCTCAGAGGCAGTTCCCTGAGTTGGCACATGGCCACGAAGCAAAGTCCAAAGCTCCCACTGTGAAGTGAGCTGCAGGCTCCTGAGTGACTGCTCAGAAGGGCTGGGCTCTGCTTGTGTTATCTGAAAGGTGCTGTGAGACTTGGGGCTTCAGCTCTGCCTTACCAGAGCACCACTGCCTGCAGCACCTGCACCTTGACACCTTCTCAGAATAGCATCATCTCAGCAAATTCATCTTGAGATGCCAGAAGTAAAGCTTGCAAATAAATGTGTGTACATGTCCTCAAACGCAGTGAGTGTGTGCTGAAGTTAACTCTTCATCACATTGAGTTGTTGTACAGAATTTTGCCTGGTAATTGAAATCATCCTGTGGAAAGTTTGGTTGTTGGACTCCTGCACTTGAGCTGAATATCTGGTGGGCTTTTAGGATGTGAGAGAGATGTAGCTCAGTGCATGTAAGATGAATCACCCTTGGTCCAACCATTTACATTTTGTGCCAGTTCTGCAACTCTGCTATTTATCTTCTAAATTTCAAAGCATTTTGAAAATACAGGATAGTTGCAAAATACACTTGAATATAATTTATAAAAGCGTAGGTCATCTAATAATTGCACATACTACCTGCTAGGAGTGCCTGCTACAAAATCAGAGAAGTTTTTTGTCTTCTGGCCTCTGCCACTAAAGGCAGCAAGTAGCCTGGTCTGCTCCCTCCAGAGATCCTGGAATGTGAAAGGAGGTGGGAAGAAACACATTTAAGTTCAGAGGGCTAAAAGCAGTTGGAGGAGGAGCTGGAAGAAACACAAAGTGAGAGCTCAGCAGAAGCTCAGAGTAGGGGGAATAGGAAGGTGAAGCAGTACTCAGTATAGGCAGCTGGGATAGCTGTAGGAAGAGCAGATGGTGGAGAAAGTGGGATACAAGCATGAGGAGCAGGAGCATTTGGAGAGAAGGGAAAGCCTGGGCTGGATTACAGGTGCACACACTGTGCCCACTGGCTGCTTTCCTCCAAAATCTGGAAGTGAGCCTTGGAGCTGCAAGGGTCTGAGTTCCTGTTCTGCAGAGGAAATGTGTCACAGCCATGGGGTGCGTGGGAGCTGCATCACCACAGCCCCTCTACTGCTGTCAGTCATTGCTGCTAGAGAGCTGGACTGCAGACTGAGGGCAAACTGAGGGGTAAACTGAGGGTTTAAATGCAGCTGCTGGTGCCTGTCCTAGCACTGATACAAGTCCAGATGTTAGAAGACTTTTTCAAAAATTATTTTTAGATAAGGAGGTACATTATGGTTCCTCACTGTAGGTATAAAATCAAACCCTCCAAAGCAAAGCTCTGCCATGGATTTGGAACTGCAGCTTCAGTCCTGTCATGTGTCTGCAATGTGACAGTTGTTGCTTACATATCCTCCTGTCTTCACCTGATCCTTGCCTCGTGCCCTGTGCAGATTTATTCTCTGAATCAGTGCAGTGAAACTCTTCTCTGAAGGGCCCCTGCTTCCTGTGGCCGAAGGGGAGGAGTGGCCCTGTGTGGAAATGGCAGAGAAGGCACAGGGCAGTGTGATGCTCTCCTGGCTGAAAGCAGCTGGCCATGCCAGCTTTTTTTTGCAGGAGGTCACTTGTGCACTTCTGTCATTCAGTACCCAGCATGAGTTGCCTGACTGGGATGCAGAAATGCTCATTTCTCTGGGATGTAGCTTAAGCAGTTAGGAGCTTTGCTTGTTTGATACTCAGTCGTGGCACTGGGGGTCAGGTGCACGTGTGATGCATTCAAAACTGATGGAGCTCTTGTTTTCACCATGTGACCTGTACTTAAAAATGTAATATGTGT